GTAAGGTGATGGAAGAGAGTTTGAATCGAGGATGATACCCAGGTTTCTGGCTTGATTAACAAGTTTGATGTGGTACCAATTTTTGAAATGGGAGATATTGGAAGAAGGATCAGCTTTGGTAAGCATTGTGAACATACTGAGTTTGAGGTGTCTATCAGACATCCAAGCGGAGATGTGTTGTAGTCATTTGGATTTATGAATCTGGAGTTCAGGGCCAGCTTTTAGATGATATTTAAAGTCGTGGCTCTGGATGAGATAACCTAGGGAGATTGAAAAGAGAAGAGGACCTGGGATCATGTGAATATTCCACTTTTAATGTAGAAGCTGCGAGATACTAAAAGGAGAATGGGCTGATAGTAAAGGCAGGGATGTAGTTTAGTGGTAGAGTAGCTAGCTGCTGTGTATGCCTCAAGTCCTAGATTTTATCCTTGGTATCTCCATTTACTCTTTGCATCTTCAGAGGATAGGGCAGGGCTGTTAATTCTTCAGGTCTTTTGTCAATTGCTCATATGTAGTTTTTCTAGCTCCTGGAACAAAGCAGGTGCTTAATAACTGTTGGATGAATGAATGGATGAATGAATGAATGAGTGAGTGAAATGAATGAGAATGTCTAGTTGTAATACCTGCTTTGCCACAATGCAGGTTTGTGATATTGGGCAGTTAGCAAGCTACAATTTTGTTATCTGTAAAATGGCACTAATAAAAGTACCTATCTTTTTGGACAGGATTTAAAAGAATAAAAATTTATAGCATTTAGCACAGAGCTAGTGGTAAATTAATGTTAGCTACTATTAGCTCTACTGCACTTTGGGTGCTTATCCATAAAATAGGGGCAATAATTTCTGCCCTGATTCCCTCACAAGGTGATTTGTGAAGCCAGCAGGAGTTAACATTTGACTCTACAGAGGGTTGTTAGTGTTAATGTTTTAATTGGTCTTAATCTGTTTTATGCAGCCACTCTCGCCCCCATCCTCCATCAGGATTATTTAAATAAAAACGCCTCTTTAAATTGACCCAGTACTCGGCTGGTCAGCCCTGCCGGGTTCAGCCAATTGTACTCGAAACCACGCCCCAATGCGAAGTCTATTAGCCGCCCAGTGCAATTTAAAAATACCCAGGTCCGCCCCTCCGTGCTAGGGGAGCACACGCCCCAGCGATGCCCGCTGATTGGCCCCTGCTGGCCAATCTCCACTGCGCTTCCTCCTGGGGCTGTAATTTTCAAAATTCGCTACTGGGCAGATTGGAGCGAGCCCAGGCCAGGTTGAGAAGGACACAGGTCGCTACAACACGGAGCTCCGTTCATTTCCCGGGCCTCTCCTGGTCTAGGAGTGCGTCCATGATCTTCATGTTCTGCCCTCAATCTCGGTGTGAGGTAGGCGCCTTTGGGCTTATAAGGCCCGCTCGAATTTCCGGCCCTGTCGCAAGCGGGTTGATGCCTGAACGCCACTACAGCCCCTTGTGACCACGCTGTCTTCTCTCGCCGGCAAGCAAGGCATCCCTGCCATGAAACCTTTGTTTTGTTCTGCTGTCAGTCAGCAGTTTGTGCGAAGTTGGGCAGGGAATGTGTTTTAGAGGGTGAGATGGCAAAAGAAATGAGACTGTCCTAGCTTTCAGATAGAGCGACCAGTACACATGCCTGAATCAGAGTACATTTACAAAACGTCTTTTCACAAGTGGAAGTGTGGAGGATCAATTTCATCCACAGGGCGTATTTAAGTCAGAGAGTGCTACTTGCGGGATGTCCTTTGAATTACAGGTTGGAGGATATGAAAAAGGATGGAAACGTGTGCTCTCTCCTTTGTTACCGCTTTTATCTCCACTGGCTCTCTTCTATCCCCTGCTCCAACCGCTGCAGCTCTGGGCTTTCCCACTTCTCTGTGCTTTGGTCCACTTAGGATCCTAGAATGCCAGAGGCCAAAGGACCCTAGAACAGTGCTTTTTAAACTTTGAAGTGCATACAAATCACCTGGGGGATATTGTTAACTTGCACTTTCAGATTTGGTAGGTCTAGCTTGGGGCCTGGGATTTTAAATTGCTAACAAGCTCCCAGGTGATGCTAATGTTGCTGATCTGTTGACCATGGTTTGAATAGCTAGGAGGCTCTGGTTCCATGGCCTCATTTTCTTAGGTGGGGAAACAAAGGCCTAGAGAGGGAAAAGGGACTTGCCTAGCATTATCCAGCCAGCCAGGGGCAGAGTCAGAGAGCCTAGGCATCCTTCCTAGCCCAGTGCTGCTTTCATGGACACTGTGCTGCATTCTCTCCCCAGTGTCTTGCTGTCTGTAACCTGCTTTTAGACATAAAATGAAGTTGCTGTTGTTTCCTGTAGACTGTCTTGATCTACAGTTTTGGAGTCTAAGCAACGGGGCTTCTAAATGAGCCAACTTGCCCCTGTTTGGGTTTTAGCACCAGTCCTGGGATGCGCAATGAAGTCTCCCACACTTATCAGTGTATATGTACGGAAGATGGAAAGTCTGGAAAGTGGAAAGGATTCTAATTTTCTCGTCCGAGTAAGGCCCCGTTCTGTAGGTGGTAGAAGTCAGTAATGTTCTGCTGAATGTCCCTTAATGAAAGCTTGTTTTTAGTGGAGTCAATCCCCTCCCCCTTCCTAATGGCAGAGAAACTAGTTACTTAAGTCACTGTGTGCCCCCCAAAACAAGTGATTAGTGTCCAGGATAATGAAGGTGGTGTATGAATATCATCTGGATAACCTTATTCTCTCTGAGGTTTAGTTACCCTGTGATGTCATCAGCTGGAAGTTTTCTAGCCTGTTGAGTTCAGTCTATTTTTTCTTTCCCCTTGAAAAATAAAAGTTTCAGGACATGAGTCTTTGGTCATCCATAAAAAAATTGTCCGAGGTGTGAATAGTAACAGCAGAGTAAGTGGTTTTCATACAGTGCATTTAAGGGTGGGTACACCCAATTTGGCTCTATTGCTGCTCGGCTGAGTTTTGAAAGATGAGATGGAAAATAGGTTTGGATTTGGGGGAAGAGAGGGAAAGTAAGATGCACCACGTATTTTGAGGGCCTACCATGGGTTAGGTTTCACACATACAAATTTACTTTGGAGTCATATGTTGCTTCTGCAAGTAAATGGTGGTATTGTTCTACTGCAAATGAGAAAATTAAGCCTCAAAGATGTTGTCTGGTTTAGAAACCCAGTTGCTTCTTAAAAAAAAAAAAAATCTGCTCATTCTGTCTCCTTACACTACCACAGTACAGCCTTTTGCTTTGGACCATGGACTGTTTTGGATTGCTTTTGAGTATGATTGGAGAGACTTCATGGTATTTGAGAAAGAGTCCTGGAAAGAGCTGGGTGACCTATACTGCTCAGTAGTTTGTCCTGTGTAGTAAGTCACTTAACACATCGAGGCCTCTAAAATGGGAAGAATTGTATTTGTACTGTGTACCCCCACAGTTTTGTTGTGAGGATCAACTGAGGTAATAAATGTGAAGGCACGTACTTGTACTGACTTTTCCTGACTGACAAAATGTTTAATACTTCTTCATCCAAAATCAGCCTTTCTCCTTTCTTAAACCTTCCCCTCAAGCTGCAGTCTTCTCTGCTTCCCTTTCTTACCATCCTGCCTCTAGTCTAGCATTCAGCCACTTTCTAACTCCTCCCCGATACATTTTTTATACTCTACACTCCAGGCAACTTGGGTGTCCCTGCTTCTGCCATGCTTGACGTGTTCAGGTCTCTGCCTGGGCTCAGGCTTTCTTTGCCGGGAAAGCTCCCCAGTCTACTTGGGAACCTCTTTGTCATTTAAGTCTAGATTATATATGACCTCCGCTATGAAGCCTTCTCCCACCCCTTTCCCTGACAAGATTATCGACTTTGCATTGTGTTTCTGTAGTACTTTGTATTTACTTGTATTAAATCATTTGCCACATTTTTATGTTACGTTTAGAGCTGTGCTTGTGAATACTTATAGGATAAGATGCATGATTTATTTGCATTAATATCTCCATTGCTGGAAATATTTGGTATAGAATGGTAAGCTTGTTGCATTGCCTGTAGGGTCTCGCTTCCAGGAGCCTGTTCTTTGTCAAATGCATTTGAATTTGGAGATTGAAGGTGGGTGAGGTTGGAAGGGCAGTTGCATCTGAGTGGGAAGGGCCTCTTGTATATCCAAAAACAGGTTCCTCCTAGTAATGCATTTGCTCGTAAGACACATAAGTGTATCCTAACTATTGAGGACTCACAAGAAAGAACCATAAAGAACATAGAATGGGGTCTCCCACCAAGATGGGACAAAGATAGGACTCTCTCAAGGGCTGTAATGATGGTTAAATTTTTATGTCAAGTGATTTTCAATAAGTTAGTTCCTTCTATTGTTATCTCATCTTTTGATTTTTTTTTTTTTTTCCTACCAGGTGTCTCTGGAACTGGATTATGGTTTCTTTTGGTTGAATGCAGTCTTTGAATACTCTGGCCTATCATGTACACATGTGTGTGCAGTGTATTCTTGCATCTTCTCTGTAGCATCATTGTAATTGCTGTGCCAGGACCCTGTGCCTTTTAAAGAACATTAACCTTTCCAGCTGGCTTCCATACTATATGATCTGCATGTTCTTGATCGTTTTTAATGCAAAACACTCATGTGACTTGTTCCTAGTGTTCCCAAGCCTAAACTAGGAGGTAGGCCACAGTTCTAGTGCCCCCAGAGGATGACAGGCACTGTGCTGGGCTTTTTAGATAGAGTATCTCGTTTAACTGGAACAGTGCCCTACAGAGGTAGGTATACTTATCTCCATTTTACAGATGAGATAACTGAAGCCCAGGAGTTTGTCACTTGCCTAAGGCTAATTGTGGTAGAACTAAGATTTAAACACAGATCTGCCTAACAGTATACTTTCTTCTAGAGATGCTGTAGAGAGACTGGTTAGGTATTCTCAGGGGTTTTCGGAGCATTCTGCGAAGTGTCTGGTGAATGGTGTTTGAAAGAGTCCCTTTCTGATTGCAGCCCTATCTTGGATAGACACTGCTGAACCTGTGAGAAATGCCACTGCCTCTACCATCCCGAAGCTCCAAACCTGAGACTAAGAAATCACAGTCGAGCAAAATCGTGCCCAGTGATCATGGCCAATCTGAAAAGGTTAGAGCAAGCTGTCTCTCCCAACAGTGTCTCGAGTAGCTTCTTTCTGTGTTGGCTCAGTCCCTATCCTCACCCCTAAATCTTTCTGAATATGTGTTGTTTAATCTGAGAAATTGGGAAGGAGTGGCAGCGCTTGTAGTTTAAGAAGACCAGCAAATTAGAACTTGGATTCTAAGTGTGAACTCTCCTTTCCCATAAATGCATAGCTGAAATGAAGAGTGTCCTTCACAACCTTCAGAAGCAAATAATACTCAGCCCTTGTTAATGATCATGTCTATACTCTTCGTGTCTGGGAGATGTTCAAAGTACCTTGCTGGGAGGCTGCTTAGTGCATCCTGGGGGAGACTATGAAGCTAATCTTCAACAAATGTATTATCATGCTTTTTATAGCTATTAAATTTGAAGACGGTGTCCATTTTGACCTTGTGGGTAGTTTGACACTGTCATTCCGATCCTGGGATGTTCTTTGTTCATCACCATACATATTTTAACCAGAGTTTTACTAATACTGATGAATTGTCATTAAGGGAGTATTTCCTGGAGCAAACATCATTAGGCCAGTTTAATTTCCTTGATTGGTTTTCTCTCAGCATAGATAAACATTTTCTAATCATTTTCCATTTTTTTGTTTTACTAAAATTTTCATGGAGGGGCTAGATTTTTTTATATATAAATTTGCAAGAAAGATTTGATTCATTGATCAGATTTTTGTCTATATTGAATATGCTGATTAGAGTTCTGCCATAATAAGTTTTCTTTTGTGGCAGTTATTTTTCCAAATCCAGCTTTCTGGGGGCACATTTTGTAAATCTAAGTTTTATTGAGTTCACTTTTATCTGTGAATTTTATTTGGGGCTGATTATTTCTACTGGTAATATTAAGTGGGAATTGGATTATTTCTACGGTAATATTAAGTGGGAATTGGATAGCAGACTGACAGTTTATTTCTTAGCTAATTTGTGAGATTTGTGTAACCACCAAATATTTTTGCTAATTATTTCCACTAGGATTATTTACCATGAACTAGATAAAAGACTAATAGTTTACTGATTTCTTAGCTTAATCAATTAGAAAATAGAAGTAATTCTTCTTGGCTCTTTCAGGATTGCTCTGCTGTGCTAGATTGGTCTATTGTACTATGAATCCAATTCTCTAAACTTCTGATCACTTACTGTGTCATGTACTAACTGTTCATGATGTAGATGAAGAACAGAGCAAATAGATGGTGTGACCCTAATGCTCTGCTTCACGTTATAGCAACTCTCTGATAAAAGTAGGGCTGTGTTCTCATTTCATAGAGGAAATTTAATACTTAGGAGACCTTCACCAAAGAAAAACTGTTAATGAGTAGAAGAGCACTACAGTGTGATTTACCCTAACCTGTAGCCCCATAGAGATGGTGTCATTCACTTGGGAGATGGGTAAGGCATGCACAGATAAACAATACCTAGAAAGCCCCTTTTGCTCCAAAATAGTCACCTCTCTTCCCATCTGCTACCTCTCCTTCATAGACACTAACAATTAGAGGTTAATATGGATTACCAAACTCCTTTCTCAAAACACAGAATTTGGGCCAACCAGGCGCCTCTATACAGACTTTCAAAATATGTATTCTCTTATTTGATCCTCAAATAAGGTAGGTTATCATTCCAATTTTACTGATAAGCAAAAATTGAGGCTGAAAGAGTAAGCGATTTGTCCAAGGTCAACAGCTAGTAAAGAGGTGATCCTGGACCAATATCTAGGTATGTGTGTTATTGTCCTTATTGGGGCTATCTTAAATACTTAAGAGATACTTAAATATTTGTTAAATTATTGAACTGATTTACTTGAGAGCATCCATATTAAAGGAATGACTGGGAATGGCAGGGTGGTGGTGGTTGTTAATCTTTGATCAGATAACCATAAAGATGAGAGAACTAAGAGGGAAAACTAGCTTTACCAAGCTATTTTGCTCATTCTAGGGGTTACGCTGAAAGTCATCATCCTAGTTTTGTCCCCATGATCAATGATTACCTCCTTCAGGGACTCTCTAAGCAGCAGTGAGTGCCAGAATTTCCTTTTGTTGTAGTTTTTTGGGGTTTATTATATACATCTCCAGTTGCTTGGAGATTCTGGAGTTTCCCCCTGAGCCCCAAAGATGACCCGAAGTCCCTGAAAAGTGTTCATGATTGGATATACTCATTTATTACCTCTTTTACTTTTTTAGAGAGGGGAGAATTATCAAGCAAAGATCTCTTCATGTTCACCTAAGAGACGATGCAAAAAGAGATCAGCTTTTGAAGATCTCACCAATGTGAGTATGCTAGTCCAATCCCTTGCTGTGGTTTTGCATATGGCTGAGATAACCTCTTCCTTAAGGGATCTTTCTGGGTTACCAGACCCTGACCCTCTCTAGAATGTTGAGAGCCAATTATACTTGGAATCAATGATCCAATTTCAGAAGCTGCAGGAGCTCTTCTGCTGGCACATACCATCTGGGTTAATTGGTTGAACTTTCTGGACCCAGCAGACAGAGTGATTATCAGATATGGAATTGTAGATAAATATAAGAGCTACGGGATCTTGCATTTAGATTTAAGTCCAGACGTGGCTCAACTAGCTTCCTAGGCCTCGGAGGTGAGTATCCTGATGGATTCATTGTAGTTCAAGGCAGTGTTTATCAATTCAAGCACTATGGGCAATTGGTGAAGTAGTTTTTCTATTGTGTAGGACTGTCCCCAGCCACAACATCTCTGGCTCCTGGTGTTAAATTCCAGCGGCAACCCATTCATAGTAACAATCAGAAATGCCCCCTGATGTACAGAACCGTTGAGGACCACTGTTCCATGGTCTGGTCTTCACCTGTGGAGATTGAGAAACTCAATTTTGAGGAGAATTCTTGAGTTCACTCCCTTCTGATATTATTAAGATACCAGCAAAACCCAGAATTGATAGTTAACTGTTACTACTTGAACGTAGAATTGGGCCAAAGGTAATCTTTGGTCTTAGAGAATAATAACTGATGACCACTGAGGGCTTACCAGGTGCCTGGCACTATTCTAAGCACTTTTTCCTGTATTAACTCCCTTAATCCTCATTTATTTCTATAAGGTAGATACCATAATTATGTCTACAGATCAGGACTTGCCCAATGTTGCTTTCGAAGTGTTTCATCTAGGATACAGAGAACCCTGGTGAACTATTCCTGCCCTCCATAATAGAGTGTCCTTCTGTAGCTACCAGAATACTTGTATCTACTAGATAATATTTTATCCCCTTGAGCAGGATTGGTTAAGCATTGGCAAGGTTCTCTCCTTTGGATCTCTGCTCTTTAGATGCTGCTGTGTGACTACCTCTGTACTAACATAGTCTCTTCCCCATACAGATTACAACATATATGATTAGGTTACAGCTTTCTGAATAATTTCAGGTTTACTGTAGATTGGTTGAAAGAGACCCTTCCCACACAGACCTGTAAGGCTAGATTTGTTTCCTGACTTATTTAACTATGGATCTAGAAACTTGGCTGAAATAAGGTAGCCACACAAATTGGAAGCAGATGCAGCTCATGGTAGTGTAGCTTCCCTTAGCCCCCAGAGTCCCTGATGGAAGAGTGGTGACGTTGTGCAAAGCAAGGTCTCACAGCATATGAGATAATTTCTTGCTATGTCTCAGTCCTTTTTTTTCATGAAGTTTATATTGCCATTCATAAAGAACAAACACAAACTAATAGGAAATACCTGCAGATATCATCCAGAGCCCTTCTGGTTCTCCAAATGAATGCAGTATCTGTTAGGTCCCATCTATATCCAGAGTGGAAGTGGGAGAAGCAGGGCATCTCTGAGCAGTAGCTCTGCCTCTAGCTTTCCAGAAACTCAGAAAGGCCAATTCCCTTTTGCATTCAAGTTTTGAAGATTCACTTTAGTAACCTTGAATGGTCTTTGGTGTTTTCCAGAGAAATTCCATCATTACAATGTGCCTAAGCCATTCCTAGGATTGGGCATTTCTGCAGATGTCTGAGCTCATCTCTTTGAGGGTTGAAGGCTCCTTTCTCTCTGAATTTTGGGGTTTCCCTATATGATTATTTGTTTCTTCCTGTCTGTATTCCTGTCAGTATACTAAGTTTCCATGTCCACACATCTGTTTTTTCCCTCAACATTCACCAGTGAGGTCCTGGCATGCCAAAAGATTTGATCTGTTTTAATTAACCTGCTGTGTTTTTCCTTCCCTCGCCTTTATCATTCCAGCATGGGAAAGACTTGTGGTCTGTAAGAGCTGGTCCTAAGCCAGTAGACAAGGAGGTAGGGTCTATATCCACATTTACCTAAATGATTTTGTGTCAGTAGGACACAATTTTCTTTTTCTTTTTCTTTTTTTTTTTTTGATGAAACAGTTGTAAGGAAGTGCAGATTAAGGTCCCCTTGAGCTTAGATCTGAGAATATTCATGCTTTGAACCTTCACATATGGCAAGTAAAGAGTTTCACCCTGGGTGTTGGGGTCTCCACCTCTCTTGTGCCAAGAATGCAATTCTTTTCCGATTCTGAATCTCAGTTGCACATATAGGGAGTTTGTAAAACTTTAGGTAAGAAGTTAAAATGAAAACAGTGCCAAACTATTTGAGAAGCAGAGGTGGATGGCTTGAGGGCCTAAGAAAGAATTAATTCCCTGTTGGATTGCAGTTGCTTATTATGATCTGATGATACAAAGGCATATTTTTTAAATATTTCATTTAGAAATAATTTCAAGTTTACAAAAAGTTGCAAAAATAAAAAGCACAAATAATGTGCATATACTCTTCACCTAGATTAACCTATAGTTAACATTTTATCCCATTTGCTTACATACATCATGGCTTTTTACTCCTAAGTACTTCAGTGTATATTTCATCAGAGAAATTGTCTTTTTAAAAAAGATTTATTTATTTATTTTAGAGAGCGAAAGAGAGAGAGTGCGAGCGTGAGCAGGGGGAGAGGCAAAAGGGGAGGGAGAGAGAATCTAAAGCAGACTCCCCGCTGAGCGTGGAGCCCAACATGGGGCTCCATCTCATGACCCTGAGATCATGACCTGAGCTGAAACTAAGAGTTGGACACCCAACTGACTGAGCCACTCAGGCGCCCCAGAGAAATTTCCTTATATAACCACAGTACTGTTAACAACTTTATAAATTTATATTGATACAATATTTTTATGTAATCTATTATCCATATTCCAATTTTTTCAGTTGACCTTATAAGGTCAATGTTATAAGTATTTTTACCTTCTAGTAAATGATCCAGTGTAGTATCATTTACTTGTCATTTCTCTAGCTGCTTTAAAAAAAGATATATGTATTTTTTAAATTTAAATTCAGTTAATTAACATATAACGTATTGTTAGTTTCAGAGTCTCTAGCTGCTTTTAATCTGGAACATTTCCATAGCCTTTCTTTGTTTTCATTGACATTACCACTTTTGAAAAATACAGTGCCACCTAGACACCCTTTTATATATTTAAAGATTTATTTCTTTGAGAGAGAGAGAGAGCGCGTGCACAGAGCGGGAGGGAGAAGCAAACTCCCTGCTGAGCAGGAAGCCGGACTCAGGACTCAATTCCAGGACCCTGAGATCATGACCTGAGCCGAAGGCAGATGCTTAACTGACTGAGACACCTAGGCACCCCTAGATACCCTTTTAAAAATAGGACATTCCTCATTTTGTGTTTGTCTGATGTTTCCATGTGACTAGATTGATGATATACATTGTTGGTTGGGATACTGTATAGGTGATACTCTGTCCTTAGGATATCACATCTGGAGGCACATGATGTCCATCTGTCTCTTATTGGTGATATTAAATTTTGATCACCCAGTCAAGATGTTATCTGGTTTCCCACTGTATAATTACTGTTCATTTTTTTTCCTCTTGCAATTAGTAAGTGGTGTATGGGACACACTCTTAAGAGCCTGCAAATAACTTACTCTTCATCAAAATTTCCCCTAAATTTAGCATCCATTGATGATTTTTGTCTAAACCAAATCTTTATATGCACATATACATATATGTGTACTTAAACATACATATACATATATCTGTATGCACAGATGCATATACATATACCCATATACTCAGATGTATATATACATAGACGTATTTAAGAAATCATGAATTTACACAGCTCCCATTCCAATACACAGGGTTTTTCCTTGCATTCCCCAATCCATATTTGTATATTCCTTCTACAATGAGGACATCAACACATTTACTCAGTACTGTAACACATCTAAAAGGGTTTCAAAATTACTTCATCCATGCCACCATAATAAACCTGTTAAAAAGAGTTCCAGATTTGGGATGCCTGAGTGGCTTAGTCAGTTGGGCATCTGCCTTCAGCTCAGGCCATGACCCCAGGATCCTGGGATCGAGTACTGCATCAGGCTTCTTGCTCAGCAGGGAGCCTGCTTCTCCCTCTGCCTGCAGCTCTCCCTGCTTGTGCTCTCTCTCTCTCTCTCTCTCTGACAAATAAATAAATAAATAAATGAATAAATCTTAAAAAAAAAGAGTTCCAGATTTATTTGCAATATTCTCTGCCACCCCACAAACCCATCCTGACTAAGAATGTGTATGTTGAGGGTATATAGTCCAAAACTGTGTTTACTTGGATTAGTTGTTTCTTGTATTTTCTTCTGTTTTCTTTTTCTTTTTCCCTTAGTGTGATTATGGTATCTATTTGGAATATAATTAGGTTCAGTTTGTTTCATTTTAAAGGCATAACTTTTAAATTTATTTTTACTGATATTATTCACAATCTCATGATCTCTTCTACTGTTTGGTAGAATTAGTCATGATTAGAGTTTATGGTGGAGCTCCCCAGAGCCCCATGTTAAATAAATATCCCTTCAATGATGGGATAGATGTATGACAGGTAGTGTTGTGTTAGAGGCCTACCCTGAAAAGCTAGTTGATCTTGGTATACCCAGGTATTAAAGCCGGTTATATTACATTCCCCCCCCCCCCGCCGAAATATCTTATGGAGTCAAAGTAGAATGTGATATTAACAAAACATCTTTTTGGGAATTTGCCAGCCAGTATACCTGACATGGAGATCAGAACTACATTCTGTGTATCTTGGAATCACTTAAGGCTGGTATTTGGCTAATATGTAAGCAGTACTATTATACTGCTAGCTTCCATTGTGATTGGTTGACACCAGTGCCACACTGGTTGTGGGATGTTTTGATTATTGCTCCTGGGAACACCCAAACAAGGTGTCCAAGATGGGGATGTGGGTCAGAACTTTCCTGTAAGCGCTACCTATTAAGTCATTTGTGGTTCTCTACATTTCCTTGCTTCCTTCTTAACCCCCATGCCCTCCCCCCCATGTTTTTTGCAGGCTTCTCAAAGTCAACCTGCCGAGCTCAAGAAGGAAGCCAATAAGGAGTTTGGTAAAGATGTTTCCAAGAGGGTAAAAGGGAACACAGCTGCTCTTGGGTTGGCCAAAAACAATGAGATGAATAAGGAAAGGTGAGTAAGAAGAGACTCAGATGGCAGTGTTTTAGATGGTAAAGGAGAGTATGTGACATCCTTTGACCTCCTTTTGTCCCCCATTAAGAACAGGTTTAGTGAGCCACAGTGGTGATTACCACATTAACCCTTGGGTGCCCAGCTGTGGTTGCTGACGTGTTATAGGCCTCTTCTCTTTCTTTCCATGGCCTGTGCATATTGAAAGAGCTGTTGTCATTGGGAAGTTTGCCAAAAGATCTTGTGCTCATCTTTTCTTTCTTTTAGTAATTCAGTCCCTGTTTGAGGTAGTCTGTGCTTGAGATTGTGGGGGCAACTTTTTAGGGGATACTCAGCAGCTGGCTGATAGCTTGCCAGTCTGCTTATCTCATTAGAAGCTTTTGGGAGAGGTTTGTTCCTTTTTACTGGAGAGAAATTACTATCCCTCTAGGCCAAAAACCTATGTTTTCCAGATGTTACAGGGAACTGTTCACAGGTTCTGCAAGTAGATATGAGTATTTTCATTTGGGTTAGAAAAAGGATTTACCCCTAGGAAAACTTCTATTAGAAGAAGAGTTAGAGAGTGGAGTGAGTCTTTTCTATAGCCTCTCCTCATCCCGGTGGGAATTACTTTCAGGAAAGAAAAGAATAAATTAGCTAGATAGCTATAGTAGGCTTAAGCATGGGTTCCAAAGGGTAAGAGAAGAAGGTTGGGGAATTCCAGAAAATTAGCATATCAGGTCCACAGGACACTTTTCTAATTACCTAGCCAAAAGAAATCAAACCAGATTAGCATTTATCCCTACTTAGTTTCTTGCTGAGATGAAATTCCTGGGATTTCTGTGTGTATCTTTAATTCCCTGCATTATTTTCTTCTGACTTTCTTTTATAATTCTGACTTTAGCAGGGAAATCCTCACAAAATACCATGAACATTCTTGCCTTCAATCAGGGTTCAGTGGAATGGACCTTAATAATAGCACTAGAACTAGTGGCTGACATTTATTGAGAGCTCACTGTAATCACACATTATTCTAAGTGGGCTTTTTTGCTAACAGCTTTATTGAGATATAATTTACATACCATACAATTCGCCCATTTAACGTGTGTAGTTCACAGTATATTTGAAGTTATGCAGCCATCATCACAATGAATTTTAGAACATTTTGGTAAATCAAAAAAAAAAAAAACCCACAAAAGACAAACAAAAAAACAAAACAAACCAGCCTGTTATCTTTAGCTATCACCTCTCAATTCCCCCATCCTCCCCAGCTCTAGGCAATCACTAATCTACTTTCTGTTTCTATAGATTTGCCTGTTGTGGGCATTTCATGTAAATGGAATTATACAATGTGTGATCTTATGTGTCTAGCTTCTTTCATTTCGTACAGTGTTTTCGAGGTTCATCCATATTGTTTCAGGTATCAGTACTTCATTCCTTTTTGTTGACCAGTAATATTCCATTGTATGAATAGTCCGTACTTTCTTTATCCATTCTTCAGTTGATGGACATTTGGATTATTTCGACCTTTTGGTTATTGTGAATGGTGTGGCTATGAACATTTGTGTACAAGTTTTTGTTTGAACACCTATTTTCAATTATTTTGTCTGTGTACCTAGGAATATAATTGGGTCATATGGTAATTCTATGTTGAACTCAATGAGGAGCTGCCAAACTATATTCCATAGTGGTGGCACTATTTTACATTCCTACCAACACTGTATGAGGGTTTCCAATTTTCTACATCCTTGCCAACCCTTACTATTTTTTTTTTATTATGGCCATTCTAATGGGTGTGAAGTGGTATCTCACTGTGCTTTAGATTTGCATTTATCTTTTTTTTTTTTGAAGATTTTATTTATTTATTTGACAGAACGCAAGCAGGGGGAGCGGCAGACAGAGGGAAAGGGAGAAGCAGGCTCCCAGTTGAGCAGGGAGCCTGATGTGGGGCTTGATCCCAGGATCCTGGGATCATGACCTGAGCTGAAGGCAGACACTTAACAGACTGAGCCACCCAGGCACCCCTAGATTTGCATTTTTCTGTTGACTAATGATGTTGAGCATCTTTCATGTGCTTATTGCCCACTTGCATACCTTTTTAGAGAAATGTCTACTCAGATCCTTTGCCCATTTAAAAAATTTAGTTGTTGAGCTTTTCATTAAGTTGTAAGAGTTCTTTATATTTTCTAGATTTAAGTCTCTGATCAGATATGTAATTTGCAAATATTTTTATCTGTTCTGTGAGCTGTCTATTCATTTTCTTGTTGGTATCCTTTGAGGCACAAAAGTTTTTAATTTTGATGAAGTCCAATTTATTTTTTCCTTTGTTGCTTATGCTTTTGGTGTGCTAAGAGACCATTGCCAAATCTGAGGTTACAAAGATTTAAGATTTTCTTTGCAGAGCTTTAAAGTTTTAGCTCTTAGGTTATTGATTCTATTTGAGTTAATTTTTGTTGTTAGTGTGTGTTAGGGGTCTAACTTCATTGTTTTGCATGTAGATATCCAGTTGTCCCAGCACTATTTGTTAAAAAGACTAATCTTTCTCCACCTAATTATCTTGGCATCCTTGTCAAAAATCAAATGACTATAAATGCAAGTATTTATTTCTGAAGTCTCAATTTTATTCCATCGATCTACATGTCTGCCATTATGCCAGTACCACATTATCTTGATTGTTGTTGCTCTGTAGTGCATTTTGAAATTAGGAAGTGTGACTCCTCCAACTTTGTTCCTCTTTTTCAAGATTGTTTTGGCTATTCTGGGTTCTTTGCAATTCCTTATAAATTTTAGAATCAGCTTGTCTGTTTCTACTGGGATTCTTACAGAAGTTGTCTTGAACCTGTAAATCAATTTCAGGAGTATTACCATCTTAGTACTAAGTCCTCCAACCCACAAACATGGGATGTCTTTTCATTTATTTAGACCTTTAATTTCTTTCAACGTTTTTGTAGTTTTCAGAATATAAATTTTGTACTTCTTTTGTTAAATTTATTTCTAAGCATTTTATTCTTGATGCTGTTGTAAATGGATTTGTTTTCCTAATTTCATCTTCATACTGTTCATTGCAAGGATATAGAAATATATATATGATTTTGGTATATTGATCTTGTGTCACGGAACCTTGCTAAACTTGTGTATTAGTTCTAATAGTTTTGGTGTAGATTCCTAGGACTTTCTATATGTAAATCATGTCATCTGCTAATACACAGTTTTACTTCTTGCTTTTCAATCTGGAGGCCTTTTATTTTCTTTTTTTTTTTGAAAAATTTTTTTTATTATGTTATGTTAATCACCATATATTACATCATTAGTTTTTTAAAATTTTTAT